TTGAAAAATAAATAAATACTCGAATTTTTCTTAAATAAGAGTAATTCACAATACTTTTGCTGTAAGTATAAAGTTTTGCATTTTAATTTTACATATATTAGTTTATTGTAAATTATAGGTCCAAACAGAGATCAGAGAACTCAGGTCATTCTCTCTACTATACCTTTTTCCGCGTTTTTTATGCTTTTGGGAAGCATTAATGATGTAGTGACGTCATCAGCTTGTAAAGTTCTTGAAAAATTATTACAACCCATGAACTATGCAGACATAAGTTCTTCAGGACTAAAGGTAAAATTAAAATATATTTAATTAGTCGAATTTTCTATACTTATTAATATTTAATGTAGGAGTATTTGGCAATTGGTTTGCGACATGATTATCCTGAGGTTCGAATTCTTGCACTACGCCAGGTCGAAAAATGTTTAGAATCAGAAGAGTTTATCCAAGATTTTGTATGCATCGTGTTTAATGCATTAATGTTTAATTCATTCTCATACTAAGAGTAAGGTGAAACTTATATAGGTTAAATCACCACTTTTCCCTGATGTTTTGGAATGCTTGGGATTTAATAATATTCCTACATCTATTAGAGTTACAGATTTTCTTGTTAAGGTATTTATTAATAATCACAAATATTTCTTAACCATGCTAATAAATAATTGTTGATATTTCTTAGCTTGTCAATACTAGTGACTATGGACTGAAAGCTTTATTTGGTTCGGAATCTATTGGTATTCTTACTAAACTTTCTCAGGGGTAATCTTGTCGTTGCTGCATTAATATAATATGTAATTTATCAATTTTATTAATTTTTCAATATATTTATATAATTCAGTGATGAAACTGTAAAGTTTCGTGTCTTTGATTTGATTGTTCAGATATCACCTTCTTCTCCGGAGGCATTCCAATTGTGTGAATCATCTGGTGCTTTAAACGCAATAACTTCCGAATTAGATTCTGATGACTTATTAATTAGGTTGAATGCAGTAGAGACCTTCTCCAAGGTTTAAAGACATTCGCAATTTGATTTTCTTGACAGAAATATTTGTTATTAATATGTTTAAAAAAAACTCACATAATTTAGATTATTCAAAGTCATTCTGGATATTCTTTTCTAGAGAGGTCTGGAATCATAAGGACACTTATTGATTTTTTGTCACAAACGGAAGAAGATATTGTGCTTATTTTATTAAAGTGTGCAGTATTGAAATTTTTCGGGAGATTATCTGAGATTGAGGTATAAATTTTATTAATCTGTCGTGTTATGTCGATTGTTCATTAATATTAATGGATTAATGGAATATGAAAATTTGTTCATTATAAGACAATAGATTTTTCCGCAATGGACAACAAATATAAAATTTTTTCCTTAATTGACGCACATCTTCTGATCAATAATATGGATCTTAAGGTTTGTTTTACAATGAATTAAGTCTTTCTTATATAGTTTATCTAATAATTGAAATTTTTTAAGATAACATCAATCAATATTATCGGAGTTATAGGCCATAATCCACGTGGCCTTTATCTCTTATATAATTGCGTCTCCCCAAATTTACTTAATGACTTTATGGACCTTCACAATAGTTCAATCGGTGAGGTGAAATTGGCATGCTTGCAGACTATATCGTGCTTAATTGGCGCAAGGTAAAAGATCTTATACATCTTTGCATATAAAGAACATCAAAATAATAATTTCTTTGTCTAGTGAAAACCCAACACCAGAAATATCTAATATTACCGAACAAATATATCGTAAAATGGGAGGTATGATTTAATAATATATTTATATATATATTTGTAACTGGCTTTCTTTATCTAATTATTATTTTATAGAAAATCCAACACCTCTCGCCACCTTGATCACTAATGCAAAAACAACTATTGAAGAACTACGTATAGCAAGTTTTGCCGTTATGCAAAAGATAGCCATACATTCATGGGGTAAAATTGAAATGTCAAATTCCAAAGAATTTATCGATTACATAGTTAATCGTACAACAGAATTCTCTCATAAAAGCTGTGAATGGAAGTTTTCAATAATTCAAACACTGTGCTCAACATCGGATGCCGAAAATATTATTGCGCCCAATGTTCTTGGGCGTTTGAGACGGTATTTGAACGAAGGCCCTTTTTATGTAAGGACCGTGGGTGCTGTTGCTTTGGAAAG